TTAGTGGGCGGTGTTGTATCCTCTTAGGCTCTTCAAGTAATAGGTAGATTACTTGAACGTGAGATTAATAAATTTTTCTCACATTGATTGTAACCGGGTTTCACTTTTGCTTGAGAAGATTAGTGAAGACGGTTGTAAATCCTGTGCAACAGGTCGTGGTTTTACTCCTTTGAGCAAGGAGGTTTCCACGTAAACTGCTTGTTGTGTTCTTCATATTGTTTAATCTTCCGCACTGTTCTTGTTGTGTCAAGGGACCTGGTGTGTTGACTGGTAGTGGACGCACATATTCCAACAAGTGGTATGGATACACAGGGGTAAAAGAGAGCCAAAACTTATCATATGGTAGTAAAGGGGTTTCTTTTTGTATAGAATTTGATATGGGCAGGCATCATTTAGCACAGTAGAAGGAAGCTTGTTTATAATGTATGTAGCACACATGATACATTCTCGTAATACTTCACAGGTAGTTTGGATTGGAAAAGAAATGCCCTAGCAGTTTCAAGTAAATGTTTGTGTTTTCTTTTTACCACTTCATTTTGTTGTGGTGTGTAGGGGAAAATTTTCTAATGAAGAATTCCTTTTGCTTAAAAGAAGGTAGTTGTTTTTGTGTTAACAAATTCCAGACCGTTGTCTATTCTACTATTTTCACAGTAGTTTCAAATAGATTTTCTATCATGGCAATGAAAATTTTTAAGGTCTGTAATGCATTGCTTTTAGAATTCAGTAAGTGAGTCCAAGTTGATCTGCTGAAGTCATCCACAATGGTGATGAAATATTTGAAGTTGTTGTAAGTTTTTGTGTGATATGGTCCCCACATATTAACATGAATGAGTTCAAAAATGTGTGAGGTTGTTGTGATCTTGGGCTTAAATGGTCTTTCCTGTCTTGCCATGGGACATATAGAACACATGAATGGTTGTTTGGAAGAGAATTGAACAGGGATAGTAGAAATACCCTTCATCTTGACGAAAAGAACATGCTCCAACCTAATGTTTACATTATTTCTAGTGTATGTGTGAGAATTATCAGTACAAGAAACAGGATCAGACACAATCATAAGGGTGTATGGAGGAATGATTGATTTGGTGAAAAATTTATCTTGTAAGGTTGAGAGGGCCTACCAGATCCAACATGTAAAGCACTTGACTCCACATTGAAATGATTGGATGGCTCGATTTCTCTAGTGTTCATCTTGAACCACAAGAGAGAAAGATTGTGCTTAGAGGGTAATGGATTCATGATAATTATACTATCAGTATTACAATATAGACGTCATTCAATCCCATGAGAAATTGGATCAACCTTTGATCGTGTTCAGCCTTATGAGCAGGAGCCTTTGCTCCACATATACAAGTGCAGCTCCATTGAGCTGTGACATTCAAAGTATTGAGTTTCTCCCATAGCTTTTTCAATTTGGTGTAGTACCCCGTAATATCGGGAGATCTCTGAGACATCATTAATTTCCCTCTGAATTTGATACTACTTTGCACCATTAGTTTGTTCATAGTTATCTCCCAGCTCCCTCTATAATTCTGCAAAGCTCATGATGAATTCAACACTTTCTGCAATTTCCTTTGACAATGAATTCAAAATCCAGGATGTAACAATATCGTCACATCATTCCCATTCACGATATGAAGGATGGTTGTATTGAGGTCGTGGACAATCCCCATTGATAAATCCTAATTTGTTTTTGACTGATAGTGACCTCAAAACACTGTGTCTCCATGAACGATAACCAATTGATTGCACTAGCATGGCTTCGGGATTATTAGAAGGATGCATGTATAGAGGGCAATTGGAATCAATTGAAAAAGATATTGAGCTAACAGATTGATTGGTGGAATCACCAGATTGGCTAGAATTTGGAGCAATCTCCAGATATCCAGCAAAAACGAAGAAGAAGCAAATCGTGGGGAGAAGAAGAAAAGAAAACTCGTACGAAAAACAAATCGAAGTGGAAAGTGAATAACTCAGAGTTGATACCGCTCTGATTTACCTGCCAGCACTGTGAGCTTGGAAGCTCAACAATGGTAGCCATATAAGAGAGAAGAACAAAGATATTGATTTGTGAAATGTAAACCTTACTTGTTCTATTTCATCAATGAGTATTTATATAAATTTGAAAAGTAGAAAACATCTAACTAACTTTGTACAATACAGACTAGCTAATTGTGTAACGAATTAACTAACCACTTAACTAATTGTGTAACTAACTATGTAAACTGTACAATACTTTAACATGAAGAAAATTGAAATCTCCATAAATACACCCAACTAATTTAAGGGTACTCTTTCTATAAAATAACAAGTAAATTGCTTTAGTCTAAAATAATTTGAGATTGATTATGTGACTTTTCATTGAGTCTAATTCTATGGTGGAAACATGGGTGGCTTTAGAGGGTAGCGAAGGGGTTTGTTTTGAATTTATTAAATATAAGATTAGATATTATTTAGTGGTTGATGGGATTCGAAGTTCATGTTGAGTTTTCAAACTTATAAACACTATTTCTTTCGCTTTATATTTATATTAGTTTATTATTTTTATTTTTTACATGTATATTAAGAAATCATAAATAAAAAGATTTTACTAATTCACCTTTTAAAAAATTTCTTAAGAATTTTACAAACATATGTGAACAGTTTAAAAAGAAATTAATTGCAAGGATAATATCAGAAATATTTTTGTTAATGCTTTCTTAATTTAATAAGTTAAACAATTAATATCAGATAAATATTCTTAATAAAATGATAAATTATATGATACAGAAGAAATAATTTTTTATTTCTAAAAATCGTTTTAGTGAAAATTCTAAATCCACTACTAAACAGTTTCATACTTAAATAATGAAACTAATTAATTACGAATGCATGGGGTAATGGCCAAATTCATGCGCGGAGTATTAATTACTAGTATTTCAAACTTTCACATCATTGATTACAGGTGAGGATTGTATTAATTATTTCTTCTTCGGTTCCTTCTTATTTGTTAAATTTCATTTAAAATAGTAATAATTGATATTGTAGATTTACAACTTAACTTTTATTAAGTTATAGATTCTTAAATATAATTACTTTATATTTTTCAGACATTAATCAATGTTAATAATTAAAGGCATAATAGGAAGAAAAAAATCTCCTTGATTTATCAAAAATCACTAGTAAAAATAATTAAATTAAAAAAATATTTGACAAGTAAATAGAAGCAGGGGAGTACTTATCTTCGATCAAATATTCATTTCTTTTTGTTTTTTTAAGCTATAGAAGGGGGTTAATTAATTATTCCATGTTAGGTAGTTTATACGAAAAATATTTTAGGACATAATTTAAATCTATTTTTCACTTTTGTCTTTTCTAAAATCATAAATGTAACTCTGTAAATTATGTAATTTCTTTCATAGAAAATATAAAACTTCACTAAAAGAAGACAACTATAAAAAAAATTCCAAACATCCCTTGTTGTCTTCTTCATTCTTATATCATAAGAAGTGGACATAATTTAATTTTTTTTTCATTGTTATCTTTTTTTAAATCATTAATATAACTTTATAAATTATGTAATTTATTTCCAATAAAATTTCACTAAAGAAAAGGACAAATATGAAAAAGACTTCAAACATCCATTTTAACCTTTAAATAGACAAAAAAAATTGTAGAAATTTGAAATGGAGTATTGAATAAACATGGAGAAACAAAATTAGTAGGACATATATATGGTTTTAGAGGCACAACCTAAATAAATTAATCTTAGAAGGAAGAAATTAAAGCAAAAATATGGAGGTAATGGGAAATGATTAAATTTTATTTATGAAATTGAATTATTTTCTCATATGATCTAATATTATTTATGGGTTACGCCAAATGTGTGGACGTAGATAAGACAAAAGAAGAATCATAGAAGGAGGAAGCTGATTTTGTGCTTATGATATAGTTTTATAATTAGATGATGACAAACTTGAAGGATATTAAATGCTTTGTTAGTTGGTGGTTGCATAAAATAGGGAGATATATAAGGAAATTATACCCATGTCCTTCCAAGTATTTAATTTAAAATTTTAGTTATTAAAATCTTTTTAACTTTGAAATAATTTATGTTGTCCATTATAGGTAGAATTTATGATCAATTGAATATGTTCATTCTTTTGTAATATATGCCTTATTAGCTTATGTTTAATTAGAGGTGATAATTAATTAGGTTAAATTAAATTTAAACAGATCGTAATGGGTTAAGATAATAAATAAAATTTTAATATTTTTTTAAAGTGGCTAATTATTACGAGTAAAATGTAAAATAATAAAGTAGATCAATTTATTAATAACAATATAAAATAAAAGGAAAAGGCTTAAATATACCATTTTTAAAATAGTTTCATTTATGCCATCAGTTAAAAGTTTGATTTTTAAAGAAAAAACTCATTCATTCCATTATTTTTTTAATGGTGATTTTACAAAATCATTTTTGACACGTCACTAATTATGATTTGGCCAGTCATCAATTTTTTTAATAAAAAAATCATAATTCTGAAAAAAAGTTCAATTAATCTTTTTAATTAAAAAATCAAAATTCTGAATAAAAATTGAATTATTTTTTATTTATTAAAAAAATTGATGACGTGAACGAATTATAATCGACCACATGTCAAAAATGATTTTGCAAAATCACCATTAAAAAAAATGACATCAATGAATTTTTTCTTTAACAATAATGACATAAATAAACTTTTTTTCGAAAGTTTAATGACATATTTAAGTCTTTTTCGTTTAATATAAAATGGAAGAAGTATTCATTTAATTTAGTTTTTTTTTTCATTTAATTTAGTTGGAGAAATAAAATTGGGATGACCGTCGTACTTTACAGAATCCATTAATGTCCCGTGAAAAATACCGGTAACGAATTAACCATAAACCTGCGCTCCCATTAAATATTCTTCCAACTCTCTCTCCCCTTTTTTTTTTCTATAAAAATCAAATTTCATTGTTGCTCATTTCCATAAACAAAAATGGAAGGAGGATCAACACGAAGCTTGTGCAGTGGATTAAAATGTTACTGGAAGAGGAGGAGGAGAAGAGGAGGGTATGAGAGGCTAAATGGGTCGGGTTGTATGAGGATGAATCGGGTCGGTTTGGGGAAACGAAGGTTCTGGAAGATAAATCTAAAGCGGAGAGTGAAGTTGAGTCGGAATTATTTGAAATTTTGGCCGAAGAAATTCGTAATGAATGTGCGGGATGCGTATGTGAATATGATGATGAAGATTGCTAATTCCAAGTGTATGAGTAGTGGGGTTGGTGGTGGATTCGGTACGAGGCAGTTGAAAGAGTATGATGAGAAGGTGCTCGTACAGATTTACAAGTCCATGATTATTGCGCAGGGACAGTTAATTGGTGATGGTGATGTAAAATTTGGCACTCCAATTCTGTGACAAACAATGGAGTTATGGTAGTGAAGTTTGGGACGAATGGGGTAGAGACTAAAAAGATTACCCCTAACAATGGATCCACAAATTAATAAATATGGTGTTTGATTTTATAAAATTCAATAAGTTATGTATTTTGTATTTTTTTTTTAAAAAAAAAAAAACTCACTTAGTTGAAAAAAAAGTACGACAAATTGATGAGAGGTGAGTCTAAAATTCATCGAGTTGGTGTTGATCCTCGAAATTACGTATCAATAATTAATAATAATATAGTTGGAGAGTTGAAACCGTAGAGGAAAGGGTGGGGTTTATCCGTGAGAAATGGACTAATTTTTTCTTGGCGCAAGAAAATCAACCAATGATGAGATAAAAATGCTTTTCTTTTTGGTTTCGATAGGTTGTCCATGGTACAAATTCTATTTTGACTATAAATTTAGTAACTTTGGTTTTAATTTTATTCTCTCGGAGATGATATCTATTGCCAAACAAACTATATCTGATAGAATGTAAGTGAATTTATAAAGGAAACTAAACACTATTCTTTTGTGAAGATCAAACACTTATTTGAATTGAAATTTTTGTTTTAGGCTAATCTATATGAGACGTGTTTAATCGTAATTACCATCCAAAATTATCCCTTAGGAACAGCTACTTTCATCTCCATTAGGTAGTTGTTTGCATCTACCATCTTTCTTTAATGTTGTACACAAATACTACGTTGGCTTGCCATTTCTTTTTTCATAACTCTCAAAACTATTTCAATTTATACATTTCAATTCTATTTTCCTCTTTTCCCTTTTCCATGAAATATTACATGCACAATTTCAATTATTATTATTATTATTCCATCAGTCTCTCAACCTTTCAAAGGTAAGCGTAATGTGTAAGAATATACTATCCAACTCTTATGTTATTGTTGTTATGTATATTAAAGAGTATTATTTTATTAACTCGACTAAAAGTGAGATAAATAGATTATAATATTAAGGGATATATAGATTATTATTTTTTGTACATTGTTAAAGACATAATTTTATTAAAGAATGACAAAAATTAATCCAAAATTATATTAGGATATCAATATAATCTATAAAGAATAATGATTGAATTTTGAATCCAATATTATATTTAATTATCCTTGCAAGTTGGCGATCTTTCTATCAATTGTACATCATCCATAAATACCTTATACTAATAATGGAAAAGACACATAAACAAAAGGGACAATTATATATCAATAGTAGATAGTAAAAACAGTACCATATTAATATTAGTATATTTTTCTTTATCATAATTTATTACTTTAAAGGCATGTACTTGAATATGTTGTTGAGAAAGATCATTTCTGGTACAAACTAACACTTGTTTACAAAAAAAATTAACAATAAAACAAATATATTCAAAATATGAGCTACTTTGTATCAATATATATTCCACTAGCCAAGTTATTTATTGGAATAAATGAATTTTACAAAAAAAATTAACAATAAAACAAATACATTCAAAATATGAGCTACTTTGTATCAATATATATTCCACTAGCCAAGTTATTTATTGGAATAAATGAATTTATGCAATATCTCACTCATTTGTATCCACCCCAATTTTTACATTAGGTGGGATTTTTATCCTCCCAAAAATGGTATTGGTGTTTGTAACCATAGGTACATAAAAATGAAATGTCTCATTCTTTATTTGACTCTGAAAGCAAAGGTCCTAAATCCTCCTTCATATACTTGAACTTTTAATATAATAAGAAGATTGAAACAATACCTTAACCTACACCATTGGTGGACTTTTGAGGGGAAAAAAACCATCATTAAAATCTAAAAGAAAATTAAAATATATATTAGTTAATATACTTCATGTTTCTCAATTAAATATAATAGGGATTCATTTAAATTTGGCAAGAATATGAAGAAAAAAAATTGACTTTCGATATTTGTTATCAATTCAGTTAACACAAATCTTCTAGGACTTATATAAGATAAAACCTATATTTACTTGTGGTATAGTTTTACAACAAACAAATATTTGGGACTAACCTTATTACCAAGATTAAAATTTAGTTCAAGTAATGTGTTTTTGTACGAAATATATACAATAAAATGATTCAATAGGAAATAATATCATCGATATGTTCAGTCTAAACGTGCTAGGAAAAAGAGGATTATCGAACATAGACATTAAAATATATATTGATTATTTATGTATATAACATAATGAAATAAAGGGCTAAAATTAAGTTAAATAGTACCTAAATTGACCCTTGTAATTTGGTTGGATTCCTTCTACTATACTCAAGTTTTATGGCTTCTTTATTCATTAGAAAATGAAAAGAAATTAGAATAATTAATAGTTAAAGAAAAGTATATATGGAGTGCCATGGTTTTCATGATCATGTTATAGGGAATAAAATGAGGACCACCTTTTTCATGTTTTTTTTTAAAAAGGTAAAAGGATTTGATATATCTCTCAACTTTGTCATTCAGAGCTGATATATCTCTCGTTATGAAAGTAACTTATATATGTCCTTACCGTTTTACAAATGACACACATATATCCTTGCCGTTATAAAATAGCTCACACATACCCTTCATTTAACGGAAGTTAAAAGAATTAGTTTTAAATTTATATTTATTACTTTTAATTTTTTTAAAAAATTATTTAGGGTGGGCTATATATGATTCTTCTATCAAAGCTTAAGGTATATTTTAATTTTTTTCATACATAAATTATTTTTTGACTTCTTTTATTATAATTATTTGAGTTTCTTATTCTTATTTTATTTTTTTCTTTCATTCCTTAGTTTAAAGAGAAAAAAATTTAAATTTTATTTTTTTGTCTATATTGTAATTTTATTTTTGTATTCGAAGAAGAAATTTGGTCATCTACAATAAGTTATACAAGAATGTTAGTGAAACATAAATAAACTTAATTATCAAAATAATAATTCTAAATTGTTATTGAAATAAAAAGAATCAAAAAAATATGTTTGACAAGGATTAAATCTACTCATATGGAATTATATTTTTTTCAAAAAAATAATAAAAAGTTAGATTATAATTATTATTTTTTCATTTCCGTTAGAGGAAAAGGGCATATGTGAGCCATTTGTTTATAGCTAAGATTATAAGTCACATGCATAATAAGAGATATATCAACTCGAAATAATAAAGTTGAGGAGTATATGATAGTCTTTTAATAATAAAAAGTGAAAGACACAACCCATGCTTCTCTCCACTTCCAATAATATTATACCGATACCAATTAAAATTTATTTATTATTAATTAAAAGTTTTATCTTTCGTATTAATTTTCTCCTTATACATGTAAGTTTCACATGATCAATCATTTTCCCGGCTCATGTGGAAATTAACAATGTGTCATGCACCCACATCGAACTAATTTTTATGATTACTAAATCTTTTTTATTTATTTGCGTATTTTCGCCTTTAAGATTTGAAAGGATAGTAAATCTGCTCTTAAACTATTATGTCATCGTCTATTTTGAACATATTCTTTAACATACTGTTATATTATTTTATTTCAGTTTACACGATATTTTCGAAAGACTTGATAATTAACCTAATTTTGACGCATTATATTTTTGCTTTCTTTTACTTTTTTAACTACTAATATTAAATTTTTATTTGTAATGACAACAATTTAATATGAATCTTAACTTTTTTATATTTTGTGAATTTCCAATATTGAATTGTTAAATCATTTGGAACAAAGAAAAGATTATACTAATACTGTTTAGCCGTGAATAAATAAAACTTCACTTTTCTCTCTGATTTTGCCTTGGGATTACTCAAAACAGTGGCGGATCCATCGTGTTCGCCGGTGCTCGAACACCTATTAACTTCGTTACAGAATATATATATTTATGTAGAAATTAATTAATATTTGTATAAAATTAACATAGAGCACTCAATAAATAAATAATTTAATTGGCCCAATAATTTCTAAATATCTACTTAAAACTCTTTTAATATTATTGTACTAAGGTTCGAATCTCATTTTTAACATATATTTTTTATATTCTCACTTTAGGAGCAACCATAAATTCTTGGATCCACCAACTCAATACTTTATCTTTTATATGGCCAAGTCAAAAGCAAGACCAATAAATATAAAACAAAAATTTTTATATTTAAAGATTTATCAAATTATGAATTCAATTTTGAAACTCAATTTTAATTTAAACTCTATATATTTATTTTATTAAGAAATTTTAAAAGTAATATATATATATATATATATATATATATATATATATATATATATTAACTATTAAATTTAAATACTAAATCAATTTCTAATTTATTTTATGATTACTTTTCAGTAAAGAATCATATTTACTTCTTTACGATAAAAAAATGAGATATATTTTTTCGACATATTAGAGTTATATTTATCTCGTATCCGTTATGTGTATATATATATATATATACATACACATACATCAGCCATTAAAAGTTTATTTTTTACTTTAAAAAATCGCACTTTATACTCTTATAGTCTTTGTCTTGAACAGAAAAACCAGCCTAATTTTTAATATATCATTTCTGAGGTGAAATGATATATATGCAAGTGATCAATGATGTTTTAAATTCAGCTAACAAGAATTGACAGAACCATATAATTTGTATTTTACCAATAAACTTCATAAGTCAAAAGTGGTAAATGATTTTTATTTTATTTTTTTACTTTTTTTAATATGTGATTTTTTTTCATGTCATAGAACATGGTTTTGTCTGCAATGTGCTTTGCTCTCATTATGATTTATAATGATTTTACCTTTTTCACTTTTCAGTGCACCCATACATTTTCAATTTCTCTTTTTCTTTTCTGTGTGGTGTAATGGGGTTGTGTTTTTCTTAAATAATAGTAGTAGTATAACACTAATTATTTTGATTATTTTTGTAATGATATGAACAACAAGAAAGAAGTACCCATGATTGGGCTAACTCAGCAAGCATTTGATCTCCCATGTGAAATTCATAATGACTTGCACAACAAATATAAACTCATCTTCTTTCTTTACTATACATAAACCAATTAAGCTAAAAAGGGAAAAAAACAATAATTAAAATATGGATAATTCTGAAAATTTAACATGGTTCTTTTTAATATTTGCACAATTAAAAACGATTGCTTAAAAGTGATAAAAGTATAGTAACAACAAATGTGATAGGAAAGTTTGAGGACTCTTCGTCCTTAATCGAACATTTTCAATTTGAGTTTTAAAAAATAAAACAATTTATGATATTGGAAGTATTGTTCAAGAATCGACCTTATAACACACGAATTAGAATTTAATTATATTTCAGTGGAGATACAAAATGAACACCTAGTGAAAAATAAAAAGAGAAAAAGAAGAAAGTATTTAGTGGTGCAAAATATCAACAAAATTTATGATTCAGCTTTAAAATATTCTTTCATTTTTTATCAGAAAATTTACATTTGAACCCTGATCACCTTTATTGAAGAGATTAAACCTTATTGAATGCATTATCACTTTTGTTAAATGTTTTTTATTCATCGCAGATAACAAATATCGTGGTATTAACAAATTTAATGACTTAACTATTGAAGGGTACAATGTAATAGATGAGATTTCTAAAATAACAGAGTTTTTGATATCACAACTCTTTTAATGGTTCTTTAACAGCATAAATTTAAATTAGTCAGATCGATATAACAAGGGAAAAAACAAATGAGCTGAGGTCAATTTGGGCTTTAGTAGAGTTTAAGGAGGTGAAATGTTTATAATTTTTCCTAAGAGGAATTTTATACACCTTTACAAACATGTGGGTTCCACAAGGTATTATTTCAACAATTTTCAAAAAGCCGGCTGAAAAATACCCGGCCAAATGGGACCCGTTATACGCTCCTTGTAGGACCGGTGTCCAGACCTGTTTGCTTCGGTTCCGAACCATTTATTTGAATTTTTTGAACGTTAATTTGTGTCAATAATCTTTTTTATCATTAAAATATTTTATTCATCTTCTTATAGCTTGTTTGATCAAAGTTTCAAAATATATTAATTTGAAGAAAAACATATTTGTACACAAATGAGATGTAAGAAGAATAAAATGTACATAATTCATATAGATTCTTATTTTCACGGAGTAGAAATTATTTATGAGAAAATTTAATTGTCGAATTGAGATCGCAAGAAAATATAATAGAAAAGTCACAAGAAGCAAGTGCTAGTCTACTCTTATAAACCTAGACCTCCAAATCTTTCGATCAATTATCTTGAGGAGAACATTAAGTTTTTGCTTATCTTTGAAAAATACTGTCATGGTAATATTAAAACATCAATTTAGTTTTGATAAGATTCAACGAAAAATACTCTTTCAAATGATTAAGAAAAAATAGCTTATGTAACTATTAAAAATTACATATTTTTTCGTAAAAGCTTAATAAAAAAACCTCTATTCACGCTAAAATAGATATATTTACTTTTAACTATTCATGTTATAACTTGTTTGAGAATATTTAACGATAAGCAAAAATAAATAAATTTTGACCCCATGTGGAGAAAAAGTCTTTAATGTCTTTGCTCTCTCTCTCTCTTTGATGCCATTTTCAAAGAAGAAAAACTTTGGCATATCTAAGATCTTTTTTTCTTTTTACAATATAATTCTAACTTATCTATCTTCTTTGTGCCATTTTCAAAGAAATAAGAGTTTGACCTAACTTTGATTTGTTTTTTCTTTTGTAATAATACTAACTTATTACTTTTTCATTGTATAATCCAAATAAAACAACTTAAACCATTACAAAATACAAACCAAAGATTAACTTTCTGCGGACTATAAAAGAATAAGTGACTTTTTTTATTCGTTTAAAATCTTAGTAGGAAAAATTATTTGTTATTTGTATTGGTGATAAGTAATAGATATGTGATGAAATTCAACGAGATATGTATAAAAGTTGATCTGAAAACTCTGGATAATTTTTTTCATGTCAAAATTTTGATAGACAAAATTAGTTGATATTTGTATTGATAGTAGGTAATTGTTACCTAGTAAAATTAAATAAAGTGAAAATGTTGATTACATACTAAAACCATGAATAAATTAAAGTACATGTTATCAATCATACATAGTTAAACGACAAAAATATATTGCATGCATATCTTTGATTCGAAGTTTTAAAACCCTTGAGATATACATTAATATATACTAATTCTTTGATTCAAAGTCTGAAAAAGGCTATAGTAAGTAGTAAAGCACACTAAACCAAAGTTAGTTGTGTTTTAGTTTTTTGGATTATTTTTAGTAATTTTTAATAACTAGAAATCTAGATTTCTAGGTAACCGTCTTCAACTAACTTATTGATTGTTACATTTGTTCACTAGCAATATGATCCACTAGTGAGTTTAAAAGATTTTTAAGTTTAAGATTAGAATTATTTTTTATTTTTGAGGTAGGGATAAAATATGCAGATATTTTATTTTTCGAATACTCTATTTTATGGAATATGGACCTATAGTATATTTATCACTAAACAAGAGATAATGTTTGCATACATTCTATTCTTGTTATATCCTATTTGTGAAATTATACTGGATATGTTATATGTATTGTTAACAATAAAAATAAATTTGTCGTTGACGAAATGACAAAAGACATATTATTAGTTGCGAGCTAGTAAATAGCAATATTAACTCAATGAAGAGTTCTATAGCTAATTTATGTTTCTTTTAATCTCCACAAGATAGTGAACTAACATGAATAGAAGACATGACCAAATAAGAAATGAAAGAGACACAATTCAAGAGAAAATTAAGAAAATCAAAGAAGAAGAAGTACCTTAAAAGAAAATGGCAAATTCCAAAGATGATACATATAAAATAAATCTAGCATTTCTTCTTTAGACAACAAATCATCAACTTGAGATAGAAATTGCCTCACTTGTGTTTGCATGCAGAGTGATATAAATATATATAGTCAATAAAGTATCAAACTTTGATATCCTTTTATTTGAAAAATCAGTGGAGGGAAAAGGGTTGTCTAAATATATAATGTTGTTTCCATGTTTTCCTTTTACAATAAAATAAATAAAATAAAAATGATAGAGTACTAATTGTAAAAAAAGAGTTTAATTCCTATACACCGATAATAAATATTGTTTACACTACTAGGTTAATTTTATTACTGCAAGGTAATTAACTTGTCATGTTTTCAAGAACTAATTTTCCCTCCTCTTAAAGAAAATACTCGAATAAATTTTTTAAATAAATAGAATTAAAATGTACAAAATCAAAATGGAGTTGATCGAATACAACGATAACAAACACACAATTACAAGTCCATCTCATTTTAAGCAATCTAAGGGGGTGGGTGACAAATTTTTAAAAAAAATAGTATTGCTATATTTTGTTCGATATATCTTTAAGCTAAATAGTCCATGTATATATTTCCATCATAGTATTGCTAAATAACTTTAACTATTATTTTATATTTTTTATTATATTAATATGTCAAAAAATTAGAGTTTATCATATTTTTTTGTCTAAATTTTTATAAAAATATCAATTTAATTTAAATTTTTAAAAATCAGTTAAATTTATTTTCAAAAAAGGCAAAATTAAAAGTGAATAGAGTTCCTTATTTAGAGAGAGGTAAGGAACTAGGTTCGGTTGCACAAAAATAAAGTATTTTCTCCACTTCAAGAAGAATGTTTGTTTAATTTAGCATTACTTTAATTTTATTTTTGACATGACATATTTAAGACCATAAGATTAAATGATATTTTGATATAACTTCAATTTTAAATCATAAAATTAAATTTTTTTTTCCGTTTTCTTAAATTTTATTTCAAATCAAACTATGTTATTCTTTTTTAAACAAAGCGAGTACGTATTTTTTTTGCTTTGTATAAAAAAGCAAAGCAAAGCAAAGAAAGAAGCTTATTGTGAGAGAGAAGGGAAAGAGGGGAGGTGGAGGAAAAGAAAGGGAATTTTGGCCAGCACCAAAGTTATACTACCAGCTTGTAGTGTACAAGGAACCTAAAAAGGTCTAAGAAAATTTTATAAAGCCTATTTTATAACTAGTGTATACCAAACAATTTGGAGAACAAGTGTAATTTCAAATTTGTTGTTTTGTTGTAGAAACCAGAGTTTAAATCATCACATTTTGGGTGTTTTTTTATTGTTTCTCAAAAGAATTGTGTGGGGTTTGTTTTGTTTCTATGGAGAGTTGAGAATTTGATGTTAGAGGACTTGGTTTCAAGTTTGTTGCCATAAAATCCAATCTTGAGAATTTTGATGTTAAAGGGTGAAGTTTCAAGTTTATTCAAATAAAGAGCTCTGCCTTGAGATAAATATATATTTTATTCAAAATAATTATCTGGGGTTTGTTTTGTTTCCTTGCAGAATTGAGAATTTTGATGTTAGAGGGTGTAGTTTCAAATTTTGTTCCAATAAAAGGTTCTGTCTGAATAATCATATTTGAGGTTTTTTCTCAAAAGATTTATGTTGGAGGCTTGAGAATTTTGATGTCAAATTTGTTGCCATAAAAAGCTGAGTTCGAATCATCACACTTGGGTTTTTTCTCAAACGGATTATCTGAAGTTCGTCTTGTTTTACTGGAGAATTGATGTTAGAGAGCTTGGTTTCAAAGTAGTTGACACAAAAATCCCTTCTTTAACGGTTTTGGTACATATTTAAACAAGAATGGCTGCTGATGGTGCATTGTCTTTCTCTGTGGCATCTGTGGTGGAAGATGTTCTTCAGCAGCATGGAAGTAGATCAAGGAATCTTGATTTGGATGCCCGACGAGCAGAGGAAGCAGGTAACTTTCTAATGCTCCTTCTTGCTAATTAACAATTTGCAATTTCTTCATTTGTGGCTGATTCAAGTATTGAGTCCTTCAGTTGGGCCAATAAATATTCATACAACTTTTTTTTTTACCTATATGCACCGTGTAATTTTCCGGCAAGGGGATCCAATTGTGTTTTGGTTGGATATGCATTGTTACTGACCTGTTTATGTACTCAGTCAGCTCATTCTTTAATACATAAAGAGGAGCATGGATTTGAAACTGATTTAATGTAGTTATTATTGCAGGCCAAAATTTAAGTGTTGAATATTTAACAGCTTAAGTTTTTAGATTGAGATGGTTCACACAATGACACAATTCAGCATCTTATTGCTGAGAAGACATTATTTTGACTGCTTATTTTATATTTTATAAGGAATGACATCAAAAGAAATTTTCATTTGTAGCAACAAGGAGGTATGAAGCAGCAGCGTGGCTGAGAAAGGTGGTGGGATTTGTGGGAGCAAAAGATTTACCAGCTGAACCTTCTGAGGAAGACTTCAGGCTTGGCTTAAGGAGTGGAATAATTCTTTGCAATGTACTTAATAAAATGCAGCCTGGAGCTGTGTCCAAGGTAAATACAATCCAAAACATTCCATCCCCCCACACCAGTGCAACCAATTAATCAAATGTCTAAGCCCCAAAATAGGTGCAGTCGTCTATATGAATCCTTTTTATCATTCAGCTTGATCGATTTATATCCAAGAAAATCTTCATAGTTTGCTGGACTTGAATTGTTATCTTTCTACCTTTAAAACTGATCTTGATCAACAACTGCAGGTTGTTGAAAGTCCGGTTGACTCTGCACTTATTCCTGATGGAGCAGCCTTGTCTGCATTCCAATACTTTGAGAATGTCCGTAATTTTTTGGTTGCTGCACAGGAGTTGGGGATTCCTTCTTTTGAAGCATCTGATTTGGAACAGGTTAGTATAGTGCCTTAATGTTAGACAAATTGCCAAAATAACCTATTACGTCTTTAGAAATTCAAATGCAAAGTTTTTGAGTCTTAGTGGTGATGTATTGTCATTCTCACGACTGTGAATTGGATTTGCTGCTTAATATGGAGTCACCTTCATTGATAAAGCTGCATTTTTTAAAATATAATTATCAGGGTGGAAAATCATCAAGGGTTGTTAGCTGTGTTTTGGGACTTAAAGCCTACAGCGAGTGGAAACAGACAGGTGGGACTGGAGTCTGGAAATTTGGTGGAAATGTAAAATCCACAACATCAGCAAAACAATTTGTACGCAAAAATTCTGAGCCATTCTCTAGTTCCCTCTCAAGGAGTGTGTCAATGAATGAAAAATCCACGAATGGTGTATGCACTGAGGCTGAAAGTAACAAAATGGTAGGTAGAATCTGCTAGACAAACATTACATGCATTAGTAATAACGGATCAATGACATGATTCATCAATTAAATCTTCTCTTTACAGTCCAGCTCTTCCTTAAGCAACCTTGTTCGTGCAATTCTGATTGATAAGAAGCCTGAAGAAGTTCCTAATGTAAGTTCGAATGCAGTAAATTTCTTCTAGATTCTTGTAGTTGCGAAAGAAACTCTTGTCCAAGCCTCAATTTTCTTGCGCCTGCATCATTTTCTAGAGAGTTACTGACCAAACTACAAGGTGAACTAAGAAAAGGAGTAATGTTAATCAGGGTAGACTTTATAAAGTATTTGCCACTATATTGCATTGTGTGTTGGTATCTAGTGCTGTTGTTCTAAGATACATCAATGATGTACTTGCTGCAGCTTGTGGAGTCAGTGCTGAATAAGGTTGTTGAGGAGTTTGAACAGCGGATTACAAGCCAAATTCAATTGGTAAGTTTACTTCGATTAAGATACAGCAATGTTATATTTGGTAGTCACAAATGATTGTTTCTCGAGTCTCTCCCTATGGGCGCACATTTTTCTAAACACGTTTTTGTTGGATTATGTCATTTGATGCCTTTTGACTATATCTCATGTTCTACCAAAACAGAATATATAATGGCTTCTCCACCTTTTTGAATTTGGTATCACCCTTTGTCTTCTTCTATGACACTTTATTTGGATAACCTTCCATCAGAACAAAGCAATAACTCCAAAGGACTCAGCAGTTTCCTGTGGGAACAAGTTCGTTCAGAAACATTCTTCAGCCAGCACAAAGGTAATGCCTCTCAGTTTTGCAAATCACTAGGTAATCAATCATAAAGGTATTTTTTTAATATAGAATAGAGGATGACTCATACTTGCACATTACTTTTTTTCTCTTTCTCAATTAGGCTGACCAAAGAACTGTAACACTGATGAAAGAAGAGAATCGCATCGTCAGTGAGGAACTTCAAAGAAGGTACATGATGCAGAACACATTTGTTGACCAACAGCAACAAGACATCAAGGTAAGAATCGAAACCAGGCATGATCGGACTCCCAAACATGAAACTTGTGGATTTTCCACCTATATTTACGAACAATGATGCTCCACTGCAGGACCTGAAGCAAACTCTTTTGACTACAAAAGCGGGTATGCAGTTCATGCAAATGAAGTTTCATGAGGAAATGCAAAATATTGGTAGGGTCAATGCACTTGACAAATGTTCCCCTTTTTTCCCTTTCTTTTCTATGGTTGATTTCTTGAGCTGAGTTTGCTTCCATCTTGTAATATCCCTGCATTATAGGCATCCACATACATGGCCTAGCACACGCAGCTTCTGGTTATCATAGAGTTCTTGAAGAAAATCGCAGGCTTTACAATCAAGTGCAAGACCTTAAAGGTATCTTATTATAACATCCCACTTTGTCCATCTTCATTCTCTCATACATGTTTTGAAATGAAAAGGTTGTTTCTTTGTGCTCCAATTCAGGAAGCATAAGGGTTTATTGTCGAGTAAGACCCTTTTTGCCTGGGCAATCAAGTTATATCAGTAATGTCGATCATATAGACGATGGTAGCATTACAATAGGTGTTCCATCAAAGAATGGGAAAGGACGCAAGTCTTTTAATTTCAATAAAGTATTTGGACCCTCTGCAACTCAAGGTTGGTTAGACCAATCTTAAAAAATGTCATGTATACTTTAATTTTAGCATCAAGTAGCTCTCTTCATGGCATATTTTCTTCTCTATTTTGGTTGTTCACCTTTTATATTTTCCTACTTTTTTGTGTGGCAGGAGAGGTGTTTTCAGACACGCAGCAACTGATTAGATCAGTTCTGGATGGGTACAATGTGTGCATTTTTGCTTATGGCCAAACTGGATCAGGAAAAACCTACACAATGGTTAGATAAAAAAAATTCACATGTACTACTATTTTCATATTTTCCCTCTTTTACGTGCTAAGAAGTTGTAAATTTCTATTCAGACGGGGCCTAAGGATCTTACAGAACAAAGCCGAGGGGTGAACTACAGGGCGTTAGGTGATTTGTTCCTTCTTGCAGAGCAAAGAAAGGACACCTTCCTCTATGATGTGTCTGTGCAAATGATTGAGATATATAACGAGCAAGTCAGGGATCTCCTTGTTTCTGATGGTGTACACAAAAGATATCCTTTTCAGTTCTTTTCAATTGCATTTTTATGATCTTTGAAGCTTTTCCCAACTTAACTATCTAATATTTACATGCAAGGACATTCTTATATTGAGTCCCAAGTATATTAACTTCTCAATGTCTTTATGGTAAGCAATAGAATTATTATTAGTCCACTGTTCAGTCTTTTACTTCCCGTCTTCCTTAACCTATTGTTACATTAGAAATTCGTAGTGCTTCTCAAGGACTAACAGTACCAGATGCCAGTCTGGTTCGTGTGGCTTCAACTTCCGACGTCATTGATTTGATGAATCTTGGACAAAGGAATCGTGCAGTGAGTGCAACAGCACTCAATGACCGCAGTAGCCGCTCTCACAGGTGTGATGGATATCCCATCTTTCTTTGTTTACTTTCTATTACTTTGCAAGAACTTCTAGTGAAAATGAGAACTGTCTTGTTTTTTGGCCTGTAGTTGCCTAACTGTTCATGTTCAAGGAAGAGACTTGACTTCTGGGGCCATTCTTCGCGGCTGTATGCATTTGGTTGATCTTGCTGGAAGTGAGAGAGTGGATAAATCTGAAGTAACAGGAGATAGACTTAAAGAGGCACAGCACATTAACAAGTCTCTCTCAGCTTTAGGTGATGTAATCTCTGCCCTGGCGCAAAAGAATGCACACGTTCCATATCGTAACAGCAAACTTACACAACTACTTCAAGACTCACTAGGTAAGGGCATATATTAACTGATCAAAGCTTGTATCTTAGTGAGGTTCTCTTCTTTCTCTCAAGTAAAAATAAAAATATGTTCTGGGATGTCATTTGTTTTAGGTGGGCAAGCCAAAACATTGATGTTTGTTCACATAAGTCCTGAACCTGATGCCATAGGAGAAACAATTAGCACACTTAAATTTGCAGAACGTGTCTCTACTGTTGAACTTGGTGCTGCCCGAGTAAATAAAGACACTACAGATGTCAAAGAGCTCAAAGAACAGGTACACCATATCTCTTCCCCCACCATCCATCATTCCTTCTTTCTATTATAGCATGAGTTTGTAGTTCATGTATACATGCTCACGTATGGTTATTTTCATCAGATTGCTAGTCTGAAAGCTGCCTTGGCAAGAAAAGAGACGGAATCGGTCTCCATGAGTTATAAGGTTACTAGCAGTCCATGTGGTTTGCAGTCATCACCTTTTCAATCTAATCTACAAGGGCGAGAGATGTTGGGAAATTCAAACATCCAGAGGAAACCAGTGGAGGATGTAGGCAACAGAGAGGTAAAATCTCTACGACTGAATTGAGTTCAATCGCTTAAGGATAAATTGCAGACCCCTTCCTGTTTAGCAGAAGAATATTTTACTGAGGTCTAGTACACTGATGGTATTTCTATCGTTCTCTTCATATTAATAAGAATCTGAATTACTTCGTGAAAAGTATCTGAATCTATAAATGTTTTGTGCAGTTATTTACTATATAGTTAAATAACAAAATATGGAAATACAACGAAATAGCTCCTAATGATTCTTATAAGCTTCCATCTTGATACATTCAGTTGTCATCGTATTTGACATGTTATAATTTGCTTTAATTTGCAGGTCTCCAGTAATTCTGCATTCAGACAAAGGAGGCAAAGCTTTGATCTTGATGAGTTATTAGGAAATTCCTCTCCCTGGCCACCTGCTAGCAGTCCTTCCGAAAACTATGTAGAAGATGATAGTAACATGAGCTCAGGGGAGTGGGTAGACAAGGTCATGGTGAACAAACAGGAAGCTGCCCGTGGAGTTGGAAACCTGTTTGGATGTTGGGAATCCGAAAAAGGCAATGGCTCGGATGTGCTTTATGAGAATTATCTTTCAGATTCATCTAAAGTATACCAAGAAAAAACAACTAGTCTTTTCCAAATGAGCAATCACTTTGACATCACTGCTTCTGAAGATTTAGATGAGTTTGATGCCACTACCAGCGATTCGTCTGAGCCAGATTTGCTTTGGCAATTCAATAATTCAAAAGTTAACACTTTCCCTAGTAGTGGGAATGGCTCAAAGATACAAAAACCAAATACAAAACCGGGAAAGATCCCAGAATCAAGGTTAGTCTTAATCCCAATCAATTTATAGTTTATTTGTACCTCAAAAGTAACATGCTTCTTGTAACAGAACAATAGTCGAAATAGCGATCTTTTAATAATAATTTATTCACTGCCTATTTTAGGAATGTGGTTCATAAAGTAGGGCCTCCACTATCACGACAGACAAGTGGAATTAGCCACAATCAGCGGAATGGCAGACAGGCCATGACTGCTGAAATGAAGCGAAAAGCTGGAAGCAGGAAGTAGGAAAAGAGTTTACAATTCTTCTTATTATCATCCGTAATTATTTTTTGGTTATTATTGTGGCGAGTGAATGAGAGTGGTTTTGCATATGTTTTTTTTTTTTTACACAGCATTTTTATCATCATCTTTGATTTTTCCCATCAAAGTTTGTATCTTTACTTGTGCAAATGAGGCAATAATTTCAGTTGCTTGTAATTTTTGTATTATTCGAGTTGTAAGAGTTCAAGATCGTGTTGGATAGCACTGTAGTAGGTAGCAGAGTGTGACGATCCTCAAACGTTATTGTTTGATTTGATAGTCTGTGGCACTTTGAGGATTTGACTTTGTAAATTTTGCACATATATATACCATTTAAAGAGTGAGCACTGAAAATGTTTCTTTCTTCAGTCTACATCTATTTGTTTTACTTGTCCCCTTACCTGGATTTATTTGCTGTCTCATCTTAGCTCCTTTTAGTTCCTATGTTGCTCGGACTCTTCAAAATGCAGGCGCACCCATTTGGATCCTCCAAAAGTGAACTGCATTTGGGGGATACTACATGCACCTATCGACATTTTTGAAGAATTCGACCAACTGAGTGAATTTTTCTTCCTTGATACAACATACTATAGCAAGGGATGATGGAACTGAATGGAATATAGGCAGGGACCATGAAAATGTTTCTTCAGTCTACATCTAGTTGTTTTACTTGTCCCCTTCCCTGGATCCAAATGTTGTCATTTTTGTTTCTTTTAGCTCCTACGTTGTTTGGACTCTTCAAAAAAATGCAGATGTAACCATGTCAAATCCTCTAAAAATGAACTACTTTTGGAGGATTCTACATGCACCTGTCGACATTTTTGAAGAATTCAATCATCAAAGTAACTTTTACTGTCATCATACGTGATCATACTATGGAACTCAGTGGAATACAGGCAGGGACCAGGAAAAAGGAATATGGAGAGACCAGTGAAGAACTTTTGTCTTCATTGAAATAATTTGTAACTTTCATCAGTTGATGTCCTTCCACATAATTCATCAAGGAAATGAGATCTTTTCCAAATTTTTTTTTACTAGTTTTCAGGCACGTGTGTCCTATGTTAATTAGTACAAAAAATTAAATGATATAGATGCTACTAAAACTTGCGAGTAGTATTGAGTAATTATATTTTGAAAGAGAAGTATAATTGTTTGTAGTTATACACAATCAATTGAATTGGTATATGTGATATTTTTTTTTATATAGTTCTAACATATCTTATACTTAGTACAACATGTCCCTTTATTTTTTTAATATTTCCACAAGAAAGTATATAAAATTGAACTTGATGCATAGAAAACTGAAAGAGGGTCGATTTATTTTTACCGAACATCACCCTAAGTAGTATTGCAAACGCCTGCAACACTCAGCCTATCTTACACCCACAGTAAAGTTAAACAACAGACAGAATATACAGGAACTCGTCCCAACCTTTATTAATCTGATAATTAATACAAAGGGAAGGCTTCACGAATTTGCCTAAGGCCAGAAACACTCTCTAAGACTTAAACGAAATTTTCACCCTTGATAAAATTTCTGCACATGACAGTTACATGCAGCAGTTACAAATGACACCTGTCCGACACTTGTCATCACAGGATTCAAACTAAGTTTCAAACAGTTATATTTCTAACAGATAGAATCTAATTCAAATTACATCCTTATTCACACGAAATATTAATATTCTAATACTTGGAATATTTCAGGCTACATTCCAACACTTAGAATATTTCAGCCAGCTTCCAACACTTAGAATATTTTAGCGGTCCTCCAACACTTAGTTTTATTTCAGCAATTCATGTGAAATGCCTTTATTCTTGCCATCGTCAAGTCTTCACAGCTTTGCCTTGTCAAGCCAACACGCTGCCTTGCCAATGACTCTAGCCCGCACGTAAGCCTTGCATGTTCAAGTTGTCTTGCCAACACCCAAGCACCTTGAACCTGTGTTGCACTGTTTTGCCCCCATTCATGTCAAGACCAATGCCCAAGTCCTTGACATGTATGCACGTAGTTAGATCAAGTAGTTTACGGGTCTAACAGACCACCCGCACCACTTGAACTCGATGTCCTCATCGTGACTGTTTTAAGATAGTCCTCGATTTGAGCATCAAACTGCCATAAGTCTTTCGCCTTCTCCCAAAGTGCATCAGCTGCACTCTTGCCTTTCCAGTGAACCAAGAATTCTGTCTTAGTATTCTTCTTACTTGTGCCCAAAACCCGGTGATCAAGGATCTTCTCAATTTCAGCATCATACTGTGTAGGTACTTATGGAGGAGCCCTCTTTGACTTGTTTCTGTCCAGATTATCTGCATCTGCCAAGTAAGGTTCAAGAAACTCACATGGAAAGTGGAATGAATTTTCAACCTTTCTGGCAACTTTAATCTATAAGTAACTTCACCCATTCATTTCACCACTTCGAATGGACCATCATATTTAGGAATCAAACCCCGATGTCTATTCTTACTTACAATCTGTTTCCAGATTTGTGAAGTAAGTTTCAATAACACTTTGTCACCCACATTGAACTCAACTGAGCGACGATGTTGATCAACATACTTCTTCATGCGCCGCTGAGCCTCGCAAGCTATCATATGCCTCGGATAACATTTCAAGTCTGTCTCTTGCAACCCTGTATGCTGCAGGACATTTTCCTTGATTTTTAGATTTGACAACATCTAGTGGCGTCATAGGCTGTTTGCCAAAAATGATTTCAAAAGGGCTCATTTTTGTTGCAGACAACTTGTGCAGATTATAGCAGAACTGCGCAGTTTCTAACAATGTCACCCAATTCGGTTGACTTGCTGTCACATAGTGCCTCAAGTATTCTTCCAACAAGTGATTAATTCTTTCCGTCTGTCCTTCTGTTTGTGGATGATTCGCAGTAGAAAATTTTAACTCAGTTCCCATCATATTGAACAAAGTTTTCCAAAATCTACCAGTGAACCTTGTATCTCTATCACTTACGATGTCAGCCGGAACACCAAAATACTTAACCACATATTTGTAGAACAAATCAACGGCAATTTCAGATGAACACAGTTCAGGTGCAGCAACAAAAATAGAATATTTTGAAAACCTGCCAGCTACCCCCATGATAGATACTTTGCCATCTACCTTAGGGAATCTAGGAATGAAATCCATGCTCACTGACAGCCACGGCCTTTCAGGAACAGGCAAAGGTTGCAATAAACCTGCTTCCTTTTTACGTTCAGTTTTGTCAACTTGACAAACATGACAAGTCTTGACGTATGCCTCTATATCGTCTTCCATCTTTGGCCAAAAATAAACACGAGACAGTAAGACTAACATCCTTTCAACACCTGGATGTCCAGCCCTAGCAGAATCATGCGCCTCTTTCATTAAGTCTTTCCGCAGTCCACCATGATTTGGTACAGCAATTCTCCCCCCTTTAAAATAGAGCAGATCGTCCTCGATCCAATACCGTCTCATTGTGCCATCTTGCACTTGACCCATCCATTTAACATACAATGAATCATTTACAGCACACAACCTGATTCTATCATAGAAATTAGTTTTGAGTTTTGAAATTGAATATACTGCAACAAATACTTCTTTTCTACTCAGCGCATCAGCAACCTGGTTGTGTTTTCCTGGTTTATGTTCCCACACGAAATCATATTCTGCCAGGAATTCTTGCCACCGTGCTTGTTTAGGACTCAACTTTTTCTGTGTCTTGAAAAATGTATTTGCTACATTATCAGTTCTTACTACAAATCGAGTACCTAGGAGATAAACTCTCCAAACCTACAGACAGTGTACCACCGCAACCATCTCTTTTTCATGTGTTGAGTATCTCTGTTCAGCATCATTCAATTTCCTACTTTCAAAGGCCACAGGATGACCTTCTTGCACTAATATGCCACCAATTACTTTGTCTGACGCATCAGTGTGCACTTCAAATGGTAACTCAAAATCAGGTAATTTAAGTATTGGTTCAGATGCAATAGCATTCTTCAAATTCTGAAATGCTTCATCACATCGTTCAGACCAAACCCACTTTGTATCCTTCTTCAACAAGTCTGTCAAAGCCGCTGCCCTTTTTGAGTAACCAACAATGAATTTTCAATAGTTAGCCAAGCCAAGAAACGACCTCAAATCATTCACATGACGAGGTGCCTTCCAATCAACAATGGCTTGCACTTTCTTAGGATCCAGTCGAACTTGGTTTTTACTAACAAGATGCCCTAAAAATTTTATCTCCTGTTAAGCAAACTCACATTTTTCCATCTTAACATAAAATGTGTATTTTCTCAACTGAGACAGAACCAAAATTAAGTGATTAACATGTTCCTCCAATGTTTGACTATAAATGACAATATCATCTAGAAAGACAACAACAAAGTCATCAAGATAGTCAAACAATACATTATTCATTAAGTTGCAAAATGTTGCCGAAGCATTAGTCCGCCAAATGGCATTACAAGAAATTCATATGAACCATATCTAGTTACACATGTTGTTTTTGGTTCATCACCTTCTGCTATCCTAACCTGCCAATAGCGTGCCCTAAGATCAAGTTCTGTAAACCAGCATGCCTTACTCAACCTGTCCATCAAATCCTGCACCAATAGGACCGGATACTTGTTCTTTACAGTTGCCTTTTTCAGAGCCGTGTAGTCAACACACATTCGCATCGTCCCATCCTGTTTCTTTTGAAATAAAACAAGGGCACCATATGGAGCCTTATATGGCTGAATCAGTCCAGCATCCAACAATTCGTTCAATTGTTTGCGCAATTCAACCAATTCCTTAGGAGCCATACGATAAGGAGCCTGTGCAGGAGAAACCATACCAGGCAGGAACTCAATTTTATAATCGATATCCCTCCTTGGTGGTAAATTCTTTGGTAATTCAGGCGGCATAACATCAGCATACTGTTTAAGCAATTCAGCAACACAATCAGGCACTTCCATCTTAACATCAGGTTTCACTTCAACCAAGGCAACAAGTATAGTGTCATCACCCTTCTTCAGCCCTTTATCGATTGACATAGCAGACAAGAACATTCTATTGTCTTTCTTATTTGCAACTTTATTAATGTTCCCAAATGGATGAACTCCTTTAAGAAATCCAGCATTGCTTCCATTTATGACCATCACTCCATCTAAATGAGAAAACAGAACAAACTGAAATTTTCTTAGAAAATCAATCCCAAGTATGATCTCAAATTCACCAAGTGGCATCACCATCAAATTATGTTTTTCCACCCAATTTTCAGTCGACATAGACACACCATAAGTCATACCCACAATGGCATGTGCCTTAGCATTGACTGTTTTGACGTAAGAAGGGCTTTTAGACAACTTCAGCCTCAATTTTGTAGCAATTTTCACATCTACAAACGTATGAGT